AATAATAATATGTATTCATACAATTTTGAACTACATAATGGGACATACCAGCTAAAGTCTTATCACTGATTTATTGTGTTAACTTCATGGTATATTTTATTTCAAACTATTCCTCATTTGGTATTATATGTATAATTTGTATCTTGACTGGTTTATTTGTCTTAAATACTTCCTTATTTGTAAATAATACTTTTAAAATCTAATTTAGGTATAAATGTAAGGTTGGTTATGGAAATAAATAAAATATATTGGTATTTTTTCATACATTTTAGAAGCAGTTTTTATATTTATTATGGGTACTAATTGTTGTTATAGGATACGTGTGATGTTTGGGTATAGGGTACACAGGCATACAGTGTGTAATAGTGAAATCAGAGTAGTTGAGGTATCCATTAGCTCAAGCATTTCTCAATTCTTCGTATTAGGAACATTCCAATTCCACTCTTTTCGTTATTTTAAGGTAAAAACTTCTGTTTCTTTTGTTTCAGGATTATTGAACTAAAGGAAATGGTTTCTGATGTTAATCTCAGTTTTAATAAGCTTTCCTTTGTGTCCTTGGAGTTATGTATGCTTCAAAAACTGACATTTTTGGATCTCAGGTATTTATTGATACCATTGCTTGCCTTTTAAAACAATTATAACTTGTCCTTGAGTGTTACTTGACTTTTGCCACCTTGTATTTTCCCAGGTAAATATGGAAACTAGTCTTCTGGTTTATTAGCAGTATTTTAGGAGCAATCTAAGTATTTAGAAAATATTAGAAATATTAGGAGATAATTAGGCATTTATCATTATAATTAGACATTTACAAGTTAAATGATAAGTCGAAATTATTCAAAACATTAACCCATCCTATTTAAGATTACAAATACCACGTGGAAAGTATTTCCTTCACATTGTTTCCTGAAAGTAAATAGTATAAAACTGGGATAACCCTATGCTGGCTCCTCTGTAAAGAAAAGAACCTACTTGATTTTAAAACACAATATTAAACATATAATGCCAGAAACAAAGAAAAAGAAACTATGAGTGGCAAACCCCCCCCCAAAACTGTATTTCAACCTCTGCAGAGGTAATAAGTTTAATTTAAATGTGTCCAAATTGAAGTGACAGAATCACTCTTTAAGGTTAATAATATACATCTCAGGGCTAGATAGTCATTTATTTGCTTGGACATGAAAAATTCCTGAGGGTGGCACCTGTGCTCAGTGAGTAGGGCACCAGCCCCATATACTGAGGGTGGCGGGTTCAAACCCGGCCCTGGCCAAATTGCAACAACAACAACAACAAAATAGCCGGGCATTGTGGCAGGCATCTGTAGTCCCAGCTCCTCAGGAGGCTGAGGCAAGAGAATCGCCTAAGCCCAAGAGCTGGAGGTTGCTTTGAGCTATGACAGCACGGCACTCTACTGAGGGCAAAAAAGTGAGACTTTGTCTCTAAAAAACAAAAAAATTCTACCT